CCTCTAGGCTCGTTTCCAGACGTTTATAGTGTGTAGAAAGAAAGTGTGTGTGGGAGGCACGGGGGCCTCATGGCTCCAGATTGAGCGGTCCGGGTGATGTAAACTTTTCTTCTCGTGGCTTTTCAATTCCTCCTGACCCGACTATCTACCCTTGGGTCTGCGACGATTTTGAAAGCCTTTCATCAACCATTTTGATTCTCTCTTCTGAATACATGTACCACAGTTGGAAATCAAACACTTAAATAAGATAGGCAGATGTTTGAACAGAACAGGTAGAAGAAAGCTTCATTTGATTTTAAACTTTACAGGTTGAGAGTCTACAACAAAAACATGAGACAATGACGTCATCGTCTCGCTGCACTTTCACGCGTTCCCGACAATTTCCTTTGCTTTATCGATTCCTGTCTGATCCTCCACAAACCTACAAAAAACGAGGCCAATACGGACCGAACAAGATAGTTAAATAAAGTATTTATTATAATTAATGGCTTTTTATTATCTGCTGATAAAAATTGATAGACTATGTCTCCGCGATCCATTCACGGTAAGCGCGCGCTCAGAAAGTAAGCACTTACTTATGTTTCTCACTTCGCTATTGTGAACAGTTAACTGAAATTGTCCTCCAAACATGAAATTAAGAAGTTTTCCATTTGACAAAAACCTGTTTATTTTGTGAAATAAACTGAAAAAGCAGTTCGTCGAAATTAATTCATGAGCGGTCCATCTGTGCGGTCCGTATTGTGAAATTCGGGCCGCTAAGGGAACCAATCAGAATTCTCGACCAGTTCAGTCATAATAATACTAATAATAGTTCTTAAAAATAAACCTCAGCCAAGTGATAAACAAGACCGGAGATTTTCCCTGAACATTTACTGTGGTTTTACCAGGCTTGGATGTCTGTACAAAACAAAATTACAAACCTTGTAATTTTGTGACAGTCTACGACAGGAATTTGATTTCATTTTCATCAGAAGTACAACTTACTTACAATGTTATGTTTCACCCCTTAAAAGAACTAAGAATCGTACATCGAAACTCAGAGGTTGTCTCTACTGGCTAATTTTGGCGAGTATAATTGAGATAAAGCCAAAATGCCTGGCTTTCTTTTCCTAGTATTCCGAGTTTTTGAGAATCAATGTCTACCTTGTGTCAGTCAATTTCACTTTCTGTCCTGGCCTCTGTTCCCTTTGTAGTTACCTCTGAAGACAACGGCACTGGTGTTTACAGAACAGTATGGAATAAGTTAAGAGAGCACAGCAAAGTATGGTATGACTAACTTGTTTAATTCTATCTGCCTGTTCAAGAAGGTCTATTTACAATCTCTAAATAATATCCTATCCATTTCAGAAGTGAGAGACACAGACCAGTGTTAAGCCTGAATTATGTCATGTATTTTAGTTTGTGGTTTTCTTTCCTTTGGTGTCACTCTGTAAGTAAGGTTGTAATATGAAAGACCAGTAAGTCCAATATGGGCTAATGCAGGTACTTCATTTTCACCTCCGCAACTTCTTAGCTTGAGGTGGCTGGCCTCCATTTTGGTCTCCTACATGATCGTTGCTTTCTAGATCTTCTTCACTGTCATCACTGTCCTCATCTTCATCTTCACTTAATTCTGTGACACAAATGATATGAGTATGTTAGTCTGTGAAAAGTGCCGCGGCTGCTGTAGCAACTGTCAAGCAGGCTGTATAAAATAGGCTACAAGTGCTTTACATGCCCATGTCTTCTAATTTCCTGCCAAAGCACGCAACTGAATAACTGGGACTGAATGTCAGTGTTGCAGACTAAAGGAAAATATTTTTAATACCTTTAACACAGCTGATTTGGAAATAAAAATGACAACCTGAGGGCAGAGTATCTAACAAGAGTGGAAGAGCTGCAAAGAGAATGGCGACAAGTCAAGTTGAGATTCTGGCTGCTCTAATTCTTGGGTTGTTTGAATTACCTGTTCAAGCACAGATATCCCAAACTCACTGGGTGAGCTTGGATAACCAGAAGCTAACCATCTAATGGGAGGGCAGACTTTCAATCACTTGAATACTCCCCAGGTTAGCCTGTTTACAGTCAGCTCTCCATAATGGCAATGGTAACACAATATAAACTTAAAAAGTCTGCAGTCTGCATTTTACCTTTGATCTGGAGTTTTTAAATTTCACCCTCAGTCTACATCTTACCCCAAGTCTGCAGTCTATGATTTGCAGAACACCGTTAGTTTAAATGCCAGAGTTTGTATTGAATGTAACAGAGGTATTCAGTGACAGGAAATATAAAAAAGGAAACCACTATAAACCCATTGCCTTGGTTCCTTGCTTAGGCAGTTTTAATGTGATTTAAACAAATTTTATCCTCATTGTTTTCCTCTCCTCATATGATACATGTACTCTCAACATAAAGCTGTTTTGTTTGTGTCTTTAACAAAGTTAGGAAGCATTAAAAAACTCCGAGTGCTTTCAATTATACTGAATTTTCTGGACATTCCTGCTGAAATATAAATAAAACACTTCCATCAGGGAGGAAACTCTCCAGAAAAAGTGATCCAACTCTGGACGTTGTCCTCCTTGACTGATCTGACTGGATGTTCCATTTTCGTAAATTTTCTTTTAACCCTGTATGGTCTTGTTGCGTTGAGCGTTGTGTACATTTTAAACTCTGAAGGCATTTCTGTCGACGTTTACATTGATGACTTCTATGGCGCAGAATGTACAGCTTCGTCCGAGCAGGCTTTTCAACGTTTGAATTCTTTGTTCGACGAGTTAGGCATTGATAAGTTAATAAAGATGGTGAATTTTAAGCTCGGTAATGAAATGTGAAGGTGAATTAATCAACA